ATGGTTGATTTTCATGGATCATGGGAAAAGTATTTGCCACTTGCGGAATTTGCATATAATAACAGTTACCAATCGAGCATTAAAATGGCACCGTATTAAGCATTATATGGAAGGAAATGTCGAACGCCGTTTAATTGGTATGAGTTAAAGGATCAGGACGTTCATGGTCCTGATTTGACTAGAGAAGTGGAAAAAAGTTTAGGTGACCCAGCAGAATCTTATAGTTGCATTAGACAGACAAAAGTCATACGCGGATTTGAAGAGAAAGGAAATTGAATTTCAAGTAGGCGACAAAGTATATTTGAAAGTCTCTCCCTGGAAGAAAGTGTTACGTTTTGGGCGGAAAGGAAAACTTAGCCCCATATTTATTGGCCCGTATGAGGTTGTTAAGAGAGTGAGACCAGTGGCATAACAGTTAGCATTGCCACCAGAGATGGAAAAGATCTATAATGTCTTTCACGTGTCTATGCTCAGGAGATATCGATCTGATCCTTTACACATATTAACACCAGATGAGATATAAGTTCAATTTAACCCAACCTACGAGGAAGAACCAGTACAAATTTTAGCATATGAAATCAAGAAGTTAAGGAACAAGATGATTCCATTAGTTAAAGTTCTTTGGAGGAATCATAAGGTAGATGAAGCAACATGAGAGCGTGAAGAAGACATGAGACGACAATTTCCCCACCTCTTTGTGCAATGAAAGTTTGAGGATGAATTTTCTTAAGGGGAGATTTGTAACACCCCAAACATCGGGTTAGTGACCAAAATGTAAGAAATTAAAATTTAATGGTTTAAGTTGAATTAATTGAAAAGTTTAAGGACTAATTTTGAAAATTTTGATTAGGACTTGTTATCACAGATAAGATATTGGAGGGGCATTAAGGTCATTTTGAAGGAAAGGAATTTTATATTCCACTTTTCAGAGATATAAACACGTGGATTAAGAAATCAAGGGAAAAAGGAAAATTCTGGAACATGGGTCATTTTCTCTTATTCTTTTTCTTGTCGTGAACCTTCATATGCAAAGGTAAGTGATTTCAGGATGGTTGTTTCTTCAAATTTTGGGTTGGTTTTGAAGACTTAGGTGATATATAAGCTTAAGGAAAACTTAAGGTGGACTAAAACTAATAGATGAGTGAATTAATGATGAATATGTAAAATGAGTTTTTAAGGGAATATTTGTTATGGTTCAGTTTTTGGATCTCTATTGATAAATTTGACTTATCAAGGGTCTAATTAAGGAGTTAGAAGTGATTTAGAACATGATTGAAAACATGGTATGATTTTTAGTCCCAAGTGTTTTAGTGGGATTTTTGGATATTTAGGAGTGTTAAAGTGATAAAAGTTGGTTTTGATAAGTTTAGTTGAATTAAAAGGCATGAAAGGAGATAAAAGCGGAGATTTGGGTGAGTTTTGGTTAATTTTCAAAGTGAAATATGTAAATTATTGGCAAGGGTATCATTACTGGAAGAACAGTATCGATACTTCAAGGCAAAACTAATTAAATTTGAGGATCAATAGAGGTACTGATTGTAGAAGGTATCGATAATAAAATGGGGGTATCGATACCATTATCAAGTATGAAATTCTAGAATGCCAAAATGGTATCGGTATTGGTACCGAAGTGGGTATTGATACCATAGAAGTGAAGTATCAGTACTGTAAGAAGGGTATCGATACTAATGTGCTTGAAATGGTGAATTATGTGTTTCTTTCAGCTTAAGTTATTATGATTGGTTATAAACAATATGACCTTCAACATTCATTTCGATTGTATTATTGTGTAAACATTGAACGAAGACAAATTATGGACGATTTGACGTTATATGTTATCGATCAAGAGTGATAATAATTTTGCTGGGACTTTAGTGAGGCAAAGGTGAGTGCAACTCATTTGTTTTATATTAGATTTGAGGGGGGATTGCGATAAGTTAACCTTAGAGTTTTCGATCGAAAACCTTTCAATTTCTTTTATGTTATATTTTTTATAATGTTTTATTCAAGTTATATTCCTTAAGCTATGTTTTGATACTTATATGTATATGATTATGAAAATGTGATATATAAAATTGCTTATACGAAAATGTTCGATGTGAAAGTGCCTATGTGAACAAGATACACTTTGAATAATGAAATGATAAATAATTATGTGGTTAAAAAGCCTAAGGTATATGTATGAGAATTAGAGATATAGTTGACATGCCAAGAGTCAAGGGTTCTATGTGGTCCTTCAGGACAAACCTATGTGGTCCTTTGGGACTAACCTATGTTGTCATTCGGGACAAAACTATGTGGTCATTCGGGAGAAATATGTGGAAATTCGGTGCAAATTATGTGAGTTGTGGTGACAACATTAGTGCACAACCTCAATGTACTCAAATACTTAGAGTTCTCAGAAATATACATTGGGCATTTGAAAACAAAGTTATATAAACCGAACAATGTATAAAAGGGTACATTCTTGTTATGAAAAGCAATTTGAATTCCTTATGAAACGCTTCTATGAAATGAATAAAGATTTCAGTTTACAAAGTTTTATTTGACTCATACTTACCTAACTAATTTGATGACTTAGCGTGTGATTATTTCATACGTAGGTTCGAAGAAAACAGAAGATTAAAGCTAGAAGAGGACATCATACTCTTGAGGAGGGTCAGATCAGATTATTTGAATGTAGGTTCTTTATTTTGGTAATATTGTTGGCATGTACTATACGTTGTAAATTGAAATGCCCTAATCTATTTTGTAAACTTATACTTTTTGTATTTATGTAAATTAATAAATGTTTATTTAAATATGGATGTGAGATTTTATTATTTACTTTAATTCAAGGGTTCCACCATTTTAATACCAATAAAAGTCTAAAATTTCCCTACTTTTTAATAGTCAATGATTTGAAAAGTCAATGTGACACCTCAGACTCGTATCCGGGTCGGGTACGGGTTAGGGGTGTTACACCCATTAAGTTCAATGGGGAGACATTCATTAGAAACTTCTTACGATCTGTATCGAGGTGGCTCCATAAACAATTCGTATGGAAACATTGCGTCTAGTTCAAGGGGAAGATATTCATTTGCCAATTTTTTTGACCTGAATATGGATATGCCCTCGACGCAACAATATGTGCAGTACCCATTTAACACGATGCCTCCAAACTCCAGGGGGAGGAATTCAACTGCGAGATTCTTCGACCTTAATATCGAGATGCCTTCAAGTTCAAGGGGAAGGCATGCAACTACTAGCTTGTTCGAACTAAATGTCAATAGCGTTGAGGAACCCTCATCACTACAAGAAGAACCTCTTCGCGATCCAGGTGCTGATGATGCTGAGACTGGATTATTCGTTCACCCAGAATCACTACAGTTCAATTTAGACTCCGATAATGATGATGTAGAGGAAGTTCACATACAAAAGGTACACACTAAACCTCCATCACATATGTATGAAGCTTACTATGGTGCAATGTATGGGCTAAATTTTATGGATATGCCTAATGTCGGTGACTATAGATTTAACCCATCAGTCAATGATGGTGAGTTATATAAACAAATGTAGTTTTCATGCAAAGAAGAAGCAATGATGGCAATTAAGAATTACAATATTCGTAATTTTGTTCAGTCCAGAGCCGACCGCTCTACCACGAAAAGTATGTATGCCACTGTGTCCAACGTGATAACGTATGCCATTGGATGGTTCGCGTATCGAAGAGGAAGAGGAAAAATAATTTATGGGAACTAACCATATATAACGGTCCTCACACATGTTGTGTTGGAGGGATCAACCAGGATCATCCCAACTTGGACTCCGACATGATCTGCCAAGCCATCATGCCCATGGTAAAAAAAGCTCCCATATTGCTATCGTTGTGTTGATTTTAGCTATACAATCGCAGTATGGGTATACCGTCTCATACAGGAAAGCATGGAAGACAAAACAAAATGCCATTAAAAAACTTCATGGCGAATGAGATACATCGTACAACGAACTATCAAGTTGGATTAGGGTGGTGCGCAGATTAAATTTTGGGATAATTATGGACTTTGAAACTTTCCATGCATACCACAATGATCAAGTGCTTCGTGATCGATGCCAATTCTACCAGCTTTTTTGGACTTACCAACAATGCATAAATGCTGTGAAATACTGCAAGCCCGTGGTCCAAATTGACGGGACATTCTTGTATGGAAAATACAAGCAAGTTTTACTATTGTCAATTATCCAAGATGATAATCGCAACATACTTCCAATTGTTTTTGCCCTTGTTGAAGGAGAAAATATATATTATTAGGCTTTGTTCCTCCGAAACTTACGCGTACATGTTATCACGAGGGAAAAAATATGTGTCGTTTCAGATCACGGAGCTGGGATCAAAGCAACAATGGAATCTTTGGGTCCAATGTGGCAACCACCCTATGTCCAATATAAGTATTGTATCCGACACATTGCTTCAAACTATCATGGAAGGTTCAAGAAGAATGATGAGCGTCAATTTTTTATAGAAACAAAGTTAGTAAGTTCTACAGTTGATGCTCAGGTTACGAACTACTATCTCAAATATTTGAGTCCATGCTTCAAGAGTTATGGGGGAAGAACGAGGAAGGATATGATTACATCAACCTCATCAATAAAGAAATGTGGACAAATGCATATGATGGTGGATATCGATACGGACACATGACGATCAACTTGGCTGAGGCTATCAATTCGACCTTAAAGGGGGCACGTCATTTACCAGTAACAACTTTGGTAAAAATGAAATATTTTCGTTTGGGAATGCTTTTTGCCAAGCTCGGGGGATAAGCTCAAACTTGGATGCAAAACGATCATGTCTATCACCCTAGATTAGTTACAAATCTACAAAAAAGAATTGCCGCATCAAATGGAATATCTGTAACAAGCTTCTCTAGAACCCATGAATTGTTTCGTATGACAGAGATCCTGCGACCTCTTCAAGGGATTCAAGCTAACTCGTTCAGAGTTAATCTACGAGACAGATGGTGTGGCTGTGGGTTTTTTCAAGCTTTGAAGTACCTATGTGCTCATGTCATAGCAGCTTGCTCGCATACCCGTCAAGACTATAACTGTTTTGTGGATCTCGTATACCTTCTATCAAAAGTGTTTAAGGTATATGAATTTGAGTTCCCCTATAGGTAATGAGAAAGACCCTAATGAGGTTCAAAATTGGCTTCCGATTATACCAGATCCGTCCTTATTGAGGGAGCCCGGTCGTCCAAAATCTACTCGAATTCATTGTGATATGGATATTCGAGAAACATCAAGAGAAAAAAAGATGTGGGCATTGTAGAAACCCATGACACAGAAGGAAAAAATGTTCATCTCTTTTATAATCAAGTAACCGTTGATGTTGTGCTTGATGTAGTTGTTTTTTAAGAAAGATAAGTTTCTGTAATTTAATTTTCATTTACTTTAACTTAATGTCATTTGATCATCACTGATTAATTAAACAAGAAAATGATACAAGAAAAATGATTAAAAACACTAAATGATAAAACCATTCGTGGAATTAAGTAATAAACAAAATTAACAAAATAAATTAAGTATTAAATGATAAATAATTAAAAAAAATTACAATTGTTTGTAAATAAAAAATAAATACAAATATAATGAAATATATGAATCTATCGATACATTCGTCTTGAATATTTTCCGTAGGGCGGTGATTGTTTGTTTCGAGGATGATTTCTTCGTATAACTTATTCTGACTCCTTACTCTCATCATCATCATCATCATCATCATTATCGTCGACAACATCAGGAGCAAGTACATTTTGTTGATGAGGAACGGATGAAGATGTAGCACCTCCATAGAAAAAGGACCCTGGAGGTGTATGACCGACTATCCCACTACTCATAGAAAACTGGGAAAACTGAGAAAAGACCAACATCGATGAGTGAGAAAACTGTACAGGAGGTGTCTGTGCGGTGGCCATCGGTGGTGATACTGGACTAGCCAAATAACCAGCATATAAACTCCAAGTTGGATATGCAAACATAGAACCATAATATCCTCCAGGAGGGGTCATATAACTCTGTGGCGGTGGCGACATCTGGTATGGGAACAGCGGTGGCGGCATATGATATGGCTGCGGAGCCATATGAAACGGTTGTGGAGTGTACATTGGTATAAATGGTGGCTGCTGCGAAGGTTCCGGTGCTGTAACTAAGGACAAAACAGAAGCACCTGCTCCCCGTGCACGAGTTGGGGGACGATGAGGTTGTGACAATAGACGTCTCTGTCGACATCGATGAATGCTCCCACCTTGTGCTTCCTCGAAAAACAGGAATAATTTCCCAGTCCTGTTGAACCACTCGTAATAACCATCTGCAATCGTCAAATGGTCCACATAAATGGGTTCTCTACGGGGAATACACCCACGTTGATCCTTCCATATCATGACCCACTCATAATGCTTCAGCAGCCAGTCCACATCTTTTTTGTCGTGTCGATCAGTGCTATGCAACTCGTCGAGATTTTGAGGTACTTTCGAAATTGATTGTAAAAAATCAAATTACCGGAGGACGCGATCAATGGGATGCCACTCGACAATCACATAACATATCAGAGGGACCACCACCATCCAAACATCTAATGGGCCCCTTAAGTCGTATGGGATGCAAATCCTCATCTCTTCAGTATAATAAGGAGCCCATTCAAACTAAAACAAATATATATATAATTCTTATCAAAATAATAATCTAATTATATAACGATAATTAGAAATATATTTTTGTTATTTAAATACATACCTCTGTGCCAGCCTTCTGATCAATGAGTAACCTAATTGATTCTAATTCATCAGGTAAATCCCGATGATCTTTCCTTGCAGTAGACCACCTATTCAATGAAATAATTTTTATTATATACTAGATAAAATGATTAATATACGAAATCAGTATTGTAATTACCTCAATAATAGCGGGAAGACCAACGAGTTCTTCACAACCGGACATAAAAAGGGCATGTGATACCACGCCCAAAACTACAGCAGAAAGAGTCATCTGCCGATAGCATTTTTCCTATAGTCAGTACATCAACACATTTCCCTATAGAGGGATGTCAAAACTATCGAACCCCAACTCAGTGTGCCACCCAGATAAAAATCGACGAGATGCCGCAACTATATATATTGAACTTGGTTCCGCGATTTGTCCGGCATCAGGAGTCCTCCTATCAGCTGTAGTATGCATGCCCGTGCATACATTTTTACCAGCTCCTTCGAGGCGTCACTACTCAAATGCTTGAAAGTTGCATCTAACCAATTTAACAGAATCTGACAACTGTTAAAATTTGGCGGGACACCTCCAGGATAATCCTGGCACAATGAATTCCAGTCACCGTACGCTACCCCAAAAAGCACATCTCCATCTACCAGAAGCCCCAAGTGCATGAAAAAAATCCTCCAGCGTAATCGTGCACTCTCCGCATGGAAGATGGAATGTGTGTGTGTCTCCGGTCTCCACCGCTTGACTAATGCAGAAATCATGTTGGATTCTACGTTACAGTGCCCTTCGTATCTAGCTATGTAACCGAATCCAGTCTCGACTAAATACGGTCAGACACGAGTTGGTATCTCTAACTTAAGATTACGGATAAAGGGATTTAATATAAGGTCCATCTCCTAATTTAATAAATATTATATAAATTAATATATAAACTAATACTAAAAAAATAAATAAATAAATTATTACAAATAATTAAAATTAAAATAGAATTTAAAAATGTATCTGTAACAACAAAATACCTCGAGATATGATGTCCATCTAAACGAAACAAACCGCCTTCTATTTTATAACTACAAAAAATAATAAATAATTAATATAATACAATACAATTTAATAAAATAATAAAATAATAATTTATTATAATATAGTATAATATTACATTCTAAATAAAATTTAAGTAAGTTTAAGCTTTAAGAGAATTTGAGTTTTGATATGGTTTGAGAGAATTTGAGAGAATTTGGGAAGATCTTATGTGTTTGAAAGAATGAGGGTATTTATCGGGTTAGAGATGTGTTTAATCGGATGGGGGTCATTAATTGAGAGAATATGAATAGTTGAAATTAAATGATGTAAAAGGTGTTAGATCGATAAAATTTTCTGAAACCGATAGTTAATTAAAATTAGCTGTAGGAGTGATTTTTGGGAAAATAGCTACGAAATTTACCCTGTTGTTGACCTCATTATCGCAGACTTTTAAACGACACGTGTCAAACATCCGGAAAAAGAGGTCTCCCTAACTTCTGGACTGTACGACCTTCGTCTTTAAAATCCAGACCAAAACCTCTCTTGTCGTAAATCCCCAATCCTCAAAACTTAATTACAACCCCCTTTTTTTCTTTTCTCTCCTACATCTTCAGGTACTCCTCCTTTATTTCTGTTTTCATTTCTTTAATTATTTGTTTGAATTTTTTTCTCATACTAAATTTATAATTTGCTATTTGTTTTGGATTTTCTTTTCAAGCATGGGTAAGTGAGTGGTAGTGGGTTTTTTGTTTACTGTTTTTTCCCTTTTAAAAATCGTTCGGTTGATTTACTTTTACCTATATTTCAGTTGTAAAAATCCCATTTTTTGAACTTGATTTTCTTGTAAAAGAAATCGATCTTTTCAGGGTAACAAATATGGAAGATTTTGAAAAGCCAACAGAAACTCTTTATGGGGATAAGTCTTTAGACCAAGATGCTAATGAAGGTTCTAAAGCCGCTGGGTTTACTGTAGAAAAGCCATTGGAAAATGGTTTTAGGGTTCCTATAGATGGAAAAGAAGGTTCTTGTATTGGTGAAGACGGTGAGGGACTTGAGGATTCTGAAATGAATGGCGTTTCGTCTTTGTTACAAATGAAAGGAAGTGTTAGGAACATTGATGTTAATGGTGGAAGGAGTGAGAGTGGTGAAGGGTTTGGCACTCTTTTAGGTGCCGTTGATCAAAGTAAAGAAATTAATGTTGAAAATGTATTGCCAAATAGTGACCATGACTGCGAAACCGTGAAATTGGATGAGAAAGAGGATGGTGGTGGTGAGTTTTCTTCTGGTTATTTTGTTTGGGGTAAGATTAAGAATCATCCATGGTGGCCGGGACAGGTTTATGATCCGGCTGACGCGTCGGATTATGGGGTGAAGCTTCGACAGAAGGGAAGACTCCTTGTTGCGTACTTCGGTGATAGTTCATTTGCATGGTGCCATCCATCTCAATTGAAGCCTTTCGAAGAGAATTTTGAGGACATGTCGAAGTTGAGTAGCTCTAAGAACTTTGTCAATGCTGTATGGGCTTCCGTTGATGAAATCAGAAGACTTGTGGAGTCGAAAATGACTTGCTCGTGTGTTCCGAAGGAGAACTGTGTTGGACTCGACCGACTTCTAGCAGATAATGCTGGAATAAAGGAAGGAGTTCTTGTTCCTGAAGGTGGAATTGAAAATGTTTCAGTTGGTCTCTTTGAGCCTAAAGAAGTTCTTTGTAAATTGAAACAAGTTTCACAGGCTCTTTCGACTAGTAATTTGCTTGAATGTGCAGTGTTGAAGGGTTGGCTATCTGCTTATAATCGATCAATAGGGCGCCCTCGAATTCTTATGGACCATGAGCTGCTCTTGAATCCGGACACTGAAGAAAATTTTAGAACTTTTTTGGCGGATATGGGTGATTATAGCGAGGAAGTGGGAAACCCAATCACTACGCCAGCTGAAAAAGATTGGATTTCTTCTTTGTCTGGTCCGAAATTTGGCCAAGGCATTCGGACTTCCACAAGGCATTCGGAGATTACAGAGAATGCCATGCATCAAGGGAGGAAACAGAAAAGCATTGCTGAAATCTTGAAAACTGATATAGGTGTTCAGGCTCATAAGGTAACAAAGTCCGCTAAACAAGCATCCTTTTCTCGTAGGAAAAAGGCAAAAGTCGATTATAAAGCTAATGATGATGGTGGCAGTAATTCGAGCTTTGTACCAAGAAAGGGGAAGCAAACTGAGCTTTCAGGATCTCATGCTGAAACTGATGCCATTGGAGCCAAGAAAGAAATGGATAAGGATTATTCATCAAGAGGAAGGAAAATGAAGAGCAAACAAGCAAGCGATAATAACGGTGATGATTCAGGCAAAGAAGATACTAATACTGTCTCGGCTAAAAGGAAAGAAGACCCTAATACTGTCATTGGAACAATCAGTAGGAATGACTCTTTTTCGAGAGAAAGGAAGAAAAGCAAGTACTTATCTCCTCCTTACACTAGTTCAACTGGGAAGCTGAGGAAATCAGGCATAGAAGATGAATCCATAGAGGCTTCCAATGACACCCGATCCAGAGAGACGATGATTAAAGCTACTGGCAATCCTGTTATCAGTGAAAGGAACGAACTCTCTGAAGAAGTTCATGCAGAGCAAGAAGCATCAAATGAATTAAGATCTCTAATACCAAAACTGTACCTTGACCGGATAATTGATCTGGAAAAAGCTGAAACTCCTGCAAATGAAGTTCTAGTAGCAGTCCGTTCTATAGCTCTTAGTCCACAATACCAAAGGGACAATGGCTCCTTCGAACTTATTGTGAAGTTTTTATCTGCATTCAGAAGCTCAGTTTACCGAGATGGATCTGACTACAAAATGTATAATCAGCTCCAACAACATAAAAGAAGAAAATCTCCGGACTTTTCGGCAGTGTCATTAGGAAAAGACCGGTCTACAGCTGGTCTGGTTCCCTCTGGACATAAATCCCATAAGAAAAAAGTTGGAAAGAAAGAAGAAACAGAGATGGGTCAATCCAAACCCAGGGAAGCTACCTGGACATCACTGAAGAAAACCCAGAAACCAAAGCCGTATAAACGTAAACGGAAGCAAACTGTCACAGCTGCAGTTTTGAAGAAAAATGATAAAGAAGCTGATGAAGATAAATTACCTGCTGCCCTTTTCGTGACATTTGGCCCTGGATCCTCGTTGCCTACGAAGGATGACCTTGTCCGAATATACAGCAAGTATGGAGCACTGGATATGGAGGATACCGATATGTTCTACAATAATTTCTGTGCTCGCATTGTCTTCTTAAGAACCTCTGATGCTGAAGAAGCCTTCAGCAGCTCACAAAACGATAGCCCTTTCGGATCTGCCAATGTCAGTTTCCGGCTTCGACTTCACGTGACCACATTATCTCAAAACCAGAGGGAAATACCGAGTTCCAAGAACTCTTCTTCTCTAGTGGAGGATGGAATTGAAAGATCAACCAAGTCATCGGCTCCCGGAAATTTGCAGCTTAACCACATCAAGAAGAAGCTCGAGATGCTGACATCGATGCTGGAGATACCAGATGAAAAAATGTCATCAGAGACTAAATCCAAGATACAAAACGAGATAAAAGGGCTCTTGGAGGTTGTAAACACAATGGTTGAATCTTCATCTTAAGCAAAAATGGCTTCAGATTTAGGATGTATGGGATATGTAGTTCATGTCATGTTACATACATTGGGTTAGGGAACTTGTATGAAGTATATAGGATAGTAGTACTTTATAGTTACCATTTGCATTTGTTAAAAACTTAAAATCACCACATGCTACAGATAGCATAAACTGCCCCAAGATGAATTTTGCTTTCATGGATGCTAATTCTTGTACTTTGAGAATATTGCAATCGGATTTTTCTTTTAAATGTTGGTTCTTTTTAGAATGTGTTGGATTGTGTATAATTTTTGAAATACCACATTATATTATATCCGTAGAAAGCTTATTCGGAAAACAAATAACACCCATATTTGTTTTAAAAAACTTCCAGTGGTCGGTCTGGTACGGTTTTAGAACCTCCCTGGAGCTTTCATTGTATCTATGGATTGGGATGTAATTTAACCAAACATAATATATGAAGGCCAATTTAAAGGTATTTTTTGCATACAAAAAAATAGATCCGCATCAAGGTATTTTACCCAAAAGGCCAAAACAAAAGCAAACCATCTCTTATCGTACCAACATATCAAATAGCAACAGCTCAAGTATCAAGTCTATTAACAGAATGTTCAAAGCAACAAATGGAGGAGGCGCTGAAATAGATTCAGTCATCGACTGGGTCTTGAGGAGTTTCATCTGATCTACGCTTGATTGTTACAACAGGGCACTCGGCATGCTTCACGCAAAACTCACTCACCGTCCCAACAAAAACCCTGGCGAAGCAAATATAAATGAACCCCCAAGTTCAGTTCATCAACCAAAAAAGGCAAAAATAGAAGAATTAGAAGACTGAAGGCATCTGGTACGAGGCATACCGTTGGAAAGGACCTAGCCCTCTGCTACCCAGAACAAGAAGATCTGGTTGGATCCTCTTCACCTCATGGCAGATAACTTCCTTCGGATCACCTTTCTTGATCCATGATTCACAAGCAACCTACAATCAGAAAAATCTATTATCCGAGGAAAGCAACCACAAGTAAAATGCAGTTTTCGATTGAATTAAAGAGGGAACATTATCTCAATCTCATGACAACTCGATTAAAATGACTTCTTTTATTGAAAAATGAACATTACCCCTATTTCATGGCACCTAGTTACAAAGAATTCAAGCAGATGAAGCCCTCTTGCCCTGTCCCTGTTCTTCATGCTCTTAAAATCATCAGGAGAGGCATATATGCTGTCCATGTCATCGAAACCTTGTATAAAAACAAATAAGAAGCAGCACATCACATCAAACAGCATCAGTTGATCTTATGACACTCGAAGCTCAGCATAAAGCATAAGAGATTTGACACTCGAAACCAGTTTTGCCATAGGAATTCATGTTTCAGTCTCGAAGCTTAAAACATTTGATGTTTAGACATGCCATTGATGTACATAAACACTGAATCTAAAAGCCTAGGGGTCCAATTCAAGAAAATTCAATCTCAAAAGCCAACTTTGACACTGAAGTATGATTAGTAGTGCTTTTCAAAAGAAAATGCCTTTTCAAAGGTACACTTTAACATCATTATTCAATGAAAACCCTTTAGTATCAATTACGTTGACAGTGAACTTGCTGGTTTTCTATTCCTTAGTAACCAAACAGATAATTTTCTGAGCAAGTAGCAACCAAACAGCATAACAAACTATTCAAGAAATAATCAACCAAAATTCACATTTCTTAACCTAAAAGATCAGAAAACCAAAGAAATTTCAAATTCAAGCCGCGAATCAACAATCGCAGCCTCACACACTCCACAAACCCTAACCAACAGCAACCACAGGTGTATAGAAAACTCATCATGAGAAATTCACTACAAAAAGAGGTCAGAATGGGGAGAAAACAAAAAAGGAGAAAGAGAGAAACCATCTTCGTCGGGAACTTGAACGTGAAGGAAGAGAAGCTTGAAACCGGAAGTGTTCGATTGAACGATCTTCTGAAGGGTCCACTCGAAAGCACCTCTGCTACTTATCGAAGCGTGAGGGTAGCCTCTGATGGTAGACTCGTTCACAGCCACCATTATCCGTGTAACAGGTGCCTCACTTGTCGCCATCTTGTAACCCACAACTCACTGAGTCACTCAAATCTTTTACTAGGTAACAGCTTTATTTTCTCTTACAATGAATAAGCTTCACGATCTCTCGAGTTTCTTGGGATTCTCCCAAAAAAATACGGGTTAATATATTGTTAACGTACTACGTTATCAAATATATTAAAAGATATTTAATAAATTTGGTTTAATATTATTGAAAATATTAAATAATAATAATGTAATAGGTTTAAATCATAAAGAAATATTAAAAAATTTGACAATCGATAAACTTAATTTGTCGGTTTATGTCGATACTTTATAAAATATATCGATCCACATTAATATAACAAAAAAATATATGATAAAATCGGTCACGAAAAGATAAAACCGGTAAAACACTACTAGATATATTACACTTGTCGATACTTTAATATAAGTATCGACACATAGTGAATTTAAAGGTGATGCAGTTTTAATGCCTATAAAATGTCGATTCTTTATAAATATGTATTGATTCACAATGATATAACAAGTAAAAATATGACAAAATCGGTCAGGAAAAGATAATACCGGTAAAGAGATACCAGATATATTGCAAGTGTCGATACTTTAATATAAGTATCGACACATTGTGAATTTAAAGGAGAAGCAGTTTTAGCGCTATAAAGTGTCGATTCTTTATAAATATGTATCGATCCACAAAGATATAACATGTAAAAATATGATAAAACCGGTAAGGAAAAGATAAAACCGGTAAAGAGATACCAGATATATTTCAAGTGTCGATACTTTAATATAAGTATCGACACAATAAATTTAAAGGAGAATCAGTTTTAGCGCTTAAAAAGTGTCGATAAGACGGGTACACTTATAAAGTATCGATACATTTTTAAAAAGTATCGATCTTAAAAATATCGAAACCCATAATTATAATGTAATAAGTAATTTTGTAATATAACCGGTATATTTATACCGGTTTTATGTGAGAATATATCTACATAATGTGTCGACACTTTTTAATAATGTGTCGATACTTTTTTCCAGAATGAATGTCCAAAAAGTTGAATGCATATAGTGTCGATACCTTTATAAAAAGTATCGATCCAAAAAACTTCGAAACCGATAATTATAGTATAATAGGTAAATTTCAATGACTAGTATAAATATACCAGTTTACTTATAAAATAGGTTAATATAAGCGCTACCTATTACATTACATAAACTCTACCTAATATGTTATTGTACTTAATAATATTTCTGGTTAAATACCTATTTTATTATATAAGCGTTACCTATTATATTATATAAGCATTACCTAATATATTATTGTACTTGATAATATTTTCGATAAAATAATATAACATAACCGATTACTTATTTAACCGATCACACCTTATATTAATCGTTTTTTAATCGCTGCAGAAGTTCGTGAGTTTCTCGAGACGCGAAATTTGCTAATGAGGGTGCGCAGTGCGCAAGAAACGTACGAAAATAGTGATAAAAAAAACAAGTGGGTTTGCTATTATGACCTTTGCGTTATAATTATGCGGAGTAAAACTCGACCTGATTAATTTTTTTAACTTGATTTAAATAAAAAATTTGATTCGAATTGATTTTGAGTTATAATTTCATAAATTCGACTCGAATTGAAAAAAAAATCTAAGTTCAAATCGAGTTGTAAAATACAACTAGAATAACTCGAATTTTTTAGTAATTAGTGAATTTATTTTCAAGTTTGAGTCGAATAATTGGACTTTGTATTATATATATATATCACATATAAAAAAATATGAAGAAATATATTTGTATTGTATATATGGTTATAGAAAGTCACTTAAATTGAAACCAAAAGATATTGTAATATTATAAGTATGCACAATTAAATTTAAATAAAAATTCAAAAAATCGACTCGATTCAAATCGAACTTTATAAACTTAATTGGACTTGAAATTTTTTAAATTAACTTCAAGTTATAAAATAAAATTTATCAACAATAATAACTCAAAATTCTTTCATTCGTATTAATCGTTCACCTAAGTATAATCAACCGCGGCAGATTTGGAGGGGGTGGCATTGCCGTAAGTTTTGTCTTTTTTGGGTTTTTATTCATTTTTATTAACGCAACTTGTGAAATGATTAGAGTGCCCATTAGAGAATAAGATCTTCACTGGGTTGTAGGAAGTGTGATAATAGGTATGGGTCCATCCATGTAAGTTGGGTTTGTCACGTCTTCTAGAAAAAATAATCTAAACTTTCATTCTTTTTATTTTTGACAAGTAATTATTCTATTGAACGTTTACGTTGTCATCCGACGGTTTCTACAAATTATGTCACTGATTTGAAGCTCCTCTAATTCTCCTTTTATTTCTCAGTTTTGATCGCTTAGAGACACTACTAAACGATATGTCGACACTCGATTTCATCCCGACAATATTAATATTACTATTTGCTTTATTATTATTATTAATATATATTTTATTTATTTATTTATTTTTATTTCTGTAGGCTTATACAAGCCCAAAACCCAAAGCCCGAAGCTCGAAATACAAGTATCCAACCCACCCGCCGATTTAAATCCATCTACAGCTACCCATTTTGGGTCTTGCCCAACCCACCAGGTCTAGGCCAAGAATGAAGCCCGCGAGACCCAAACCCGTTAGAGTTTTTGAACCCCTTCTCCAGTGCTGCTCCTTCGAAGCCGTTAGATCTAACTTTAAATTTAACGGTCCAGATCGACCAATAGTTAGGGTTTTGAGAAACCCATTCAGTCGCATGATCTAGACCCATCCAACGATCCAGATCACACCAAGGGTCTTCTACCGCCGCCCATCTCCACCAGTCATCTGCCACCACCGCGGCTACCAACCAAGTCCCCTGCCATTGTCATATATCCCAAATCAACACACAAACCAAAGAAACCCACACGCAACATCACAATGATTTCCTTTTGTAATAATTCATTTTTTTAGTAAAAAGAAAAAGTTGTAATAGGGGCTATAAAACTCGAACTCTAAGCTGTAAAAGAGGTTCTCACGCTTTGATTTTGAAACCAATACAAAGAAAGGCAAAAATAAAGTTGAAACATTTGAAAGGTATTCCATTCTTATTTTATTTTCAGTTTCG